GAGGGGAGGGGGGAGGGGGAGGGAGGGGAGAGGGAGGGGAGGGAGGGGGAGGGGGGAGGGGGAGAGCCAGGGAGGGTGGGAGCCGGCACACTTTCACATGAGGGCCCCTAAACGCCACTCCAACAGGAAGAGAACAAACATAAATTCAGTAGGTGTTCTCTAAAGTCAGGAATATAACTGCTGGTTTTATTAAGAGTGAACGATTCGGAAAGCAGCCCCCAGCCGTGTTCGTGATCAGCACAAAACACTGAGGAGCAAGACGCCCCCAGCGCCCCGTCCTCTGCTGAGAGCGGGGCCCACACGGACAGGAGGTGCAGTGGTGCCCCCTGCAGGCCGCCAGCCCTCCGCCCGCCTGGGGACAGAACCACGCGCAGCCCCTACCTAGGGAGGACGGCGGTGCTGGCCACGGTCAGGGCCACGTGGCCACGGTCGCTGTGGGGCGGCGCCCACAGGCGCGTGTCTCCCTCTGCGGACGCCGGCAGTGGGACGGGTGCACTAAAGCACACTTACCAAGAGCTCAAAGCAGCTTGTATTTTTAACTTAGATATTTTCCAACCCGTTGCAGCAATAGCAGTGGCCGCGGTGGCTGGGAAGGCGTGGCCCCAGTGGATGATGGTACCACAGCCGCTGAGCAGACGGAGCTCCAGCCTGTCTGTACCCACGGGGGCTCCCTCGCGGGGACCCCTGTCCACCTCTGCCCACTTTCCGACTCAGTTCTTTAATCGGAAACAGCCCGCTGGCAGTCCCTCAGACCGCAGACAGCAGCCCCGGCCCAATACAAGTGTCAGCCTGTATCTTTTGACTTTGATTATGGTATCTTAGGCCATCTAGAAATTTTTCTTTTTTTTTCTTTTTTTAAAGTTTATTTATTTATTTTGTGAGACCGTGCACAAGTGGGGGGGGGGGGGAGGAGGAGGAGAGAGAAAGAGAGAGAGAGAGAGAGAGAGAGAATATCCTAAGCAGGCTCCACATTGTCAGCACAGAGTCTGACATGGGGCTTGAACTCACCAACCAGGAGATCACGACCTGAGATGAAACTTACAACCTCAACTGACTGAGCCATCCAGGCACCCTGAAGTTAAAATTTTCTATTTGTAGTTCCAAAAATTCTGTATTTCCTATTTGATTTATGAGGCTTTCTGTCACTCCAGGTTATACAAATATTCTTAGGTTTCCATGCTGTAAAACACAACAGTGACTATACGCAGATCTCCATGTCGTCCACAAATTATACGCAACAGGATAACCTTCTCGCAGAGTATCGTGGATGTTGTATTTCCCACTAGAATAAACCCTGTTCAAACAGAAGTTAGCTCCAGGACCCCACTTCTGGGTGGGCCCCTCCATGAACTAAAAGCGGGTCTCAAGACACCTGCACCCCGTGCTCACTGCAGCACGATTCACGGGAGCCCAGAGGTGGGGGGGACCTGCATGTCCACTGTGGACGAGCAGAGAAACATGACGCAACGTCTCCCAGCCTCGCGGGAGGGAACTCCCCACCCCCCACCGCAGACGAGCCCCGAGGGCACGATGCCCAGTGACAGAAGCCAGACACCAAAGGACAGGCCCGGTGTGACCCCACCCTCGAGAGGTCCCCGGAGCCGTCACCATCACAGACACAGAGAGCAGACAGTGGGCGCCAGGGCGGGGGAGGGGATGGGGACCTGGTGTCTGATGGGGGACGGGAGAGTCCTGGGGACGGAGGGCGGGGGTGGCTGCCAGTGGGGTGAAAAATAGTTAAGATAATACATTTCACGTGATGTGCGTATTTTACCCCCGCCTTAAAGAAGGAAGTCTAGCACGGCAGCGCCAGCCTGTAGCCTCCGTCGCATCGGTGCTTAAACACAGCTCCGCCCACCGGCCAAGCCTTGCCACCAGCCGGATGAGAGCCGGCACCCCCCGCCCCCCCACCCTGGGCTCAGCAGTCTCTTGTCTTAACAACCCCGCCTGCGTGCTGTGGGGAGAGGCCGGGAGGGGTCCCTTCAGCCGGCAGAGGGCAGGCGCCCCCTGGACCTGGCTCTGCTGAGGGGCCATGTGCACTCAGGACCTAGACAGACGACGAGTCTGGCCTGACTCGGGCACCTTTCCTGGTGGCCCTGAGCCCGCCACCTGGAGCCCGCACCAGGCCGCCCCGATCAGCACTGGCAGGGCAGGCTGAGGGCAGCAGGCAACCCTGGCACAGGCCACCACGAGTCCCGCAGGGCTGGCCCGAGATGCCAGAGCCTGGCCGAGTGGGAAGCCTGGTGGGGGAGGATGGCACCAGCACATTCCTGGCCAGAGGGGGGTTGGGAGCCCGGGAGCCTGTGCACATGCTCTGAGGATGCACGAAGTGAGGGCCCAGTGGGCAAGGGGAGGAGCTGCTGTGCAAAGGCCCTGTGCAAAGAAGAGGGCCTAGGTAGGATGACAAGAAGGCTCTGGAGGGCACTGGAGGGCGAGGGGCGACGGGGTGAGGAGGGCGGTCGGGAGCTGCAGACCTGGAGGGGTGCCTGTGAGCCATGAGGACCCGGGGTCAGAGGACTGGGCGTGACTGTCCACTGGACCGACCCCGGGGTCAAGGCAGAGATGGTGAGGCCTGGCTGCTGGGGACAGAGCTGGCCTTGGGAACGCCTGGCCCAGGGAAGATGGCGGGACACAAGCAGCTTCCTGCTGGTCAGGGGGGACCCCACGAGGAGAGGGGCTGGAGGGGACACGGGGCACCTGCCCTCCCAGAGCGGGGCGGCACCAGGGGCGGCCCTGGGCAGTGGCACTCAGACGGGGGCGGGGGAGGGCGGGGCTGGTGGAGGGAAGGGGTCTGCGCCCCACAGCAAAGCGCCCGGGAGCCCGGGAGCCACAGAACCAGGGCCTCGGTGGGGGGCGGCCGCCAGAGGCCAGGGTGGGGGCGGCAGAGCCAGTGGTGTGAGCGTGCAAGTCTTCTCGCCCCTGAAGTGACGGTACGTGGATCTTGAATGTTTATGTGCACAGAAACTCGGGCGGTGACAGACAAGACGGGACACGGAGGACATACCGCGACGCCTGTGACGCAGGCAGGCGTGCATGCCGGGCAGGGAGCAGAGGGCAGCCCGCCCAGCGAGGCCACACGGCAAAAGGCAGAAAGCGCCACTTCTTCCAAAGTTGCTGTGGCTTAGATGTCACTCTAACGGTAAAGGGACATTAAGGGTCTGCAGGGAAGTCAGGTGCTTCAGGGTCTAGGACGTGGGAACCACCCCCTCTCCTGTCTCCCCCAAGGTCTCCGTAGGGAGAAGCACGGGTAACGGGCATGAGCGAATGGACCCCGTGTGCAGGGTGTGGTCACAGCCCTGGCTCTGCCTGGAACTCTGAGGACCTGGGGGGCCAGCACTGTGCTCTGGGGACCCGGGGGGGGGGCAGCGCCATGCTCTGGGGACCCGGGGGGGAGGGCAGCGCCGTGCTCTGGGGACCCGGGGGGGAGGAGGGCAGCGCCGTGCTCTGGGGACCCGGGGGAGAGAGAGGGAAGCGCCGTGCTCTGGGGACCCGGGGTGGGGAGAGGGCAGCGCCGTGCTCTGGGGACCCGGGGTGGGGAGAGGGCAGCGCCGGGCTCTGGGGACCCGGGGGGGGGCAGCGCCGTGCTCTGGGGACCGGGGAGGGGGGCAGCGCCGTGTTCACCAGTAGGTGGGCCCCGACCCCGACCGTGCCAGCATCAGGAATGTGGGCATCCTACCAAGACCCCGCACTTGGATAAAAGGGCTCCACGTGTCTTTTCTTTTTACGTAACCAACGCGTGCTCTGGGGACCCGGGGGGGGCAGCGCCGTGCTCTGGGGACCCAGTGAGGGGGGCAGCGCCGTGTTCTGGGGACCCGGGGGGGGCAGCGCCGTGCTCTGGGGACCGGGGAGGGGGGCAGCGCCGTGCTCACCAGTAGGTGGGCCCCGACCCCGACCGTGCCAGCATCAGGAATGTGGGCATCCTACCAAGACCCCGCACTTGGATAAAAGGGCTCCACGTGTCTTTTCTTTTTACGTAACCAACGGGCGCTCTGTGTAAACGGACAGAGGCAGAGCGGGAGGCCTGAGGCGGCGGCGGGACCGGACACAGGCTCCCACCGGGTGGCGCTGGTGGCCCAGCCGCGAGCCTCCCACGGGCAGAGGGCAGCCTGGCCCCCAGCCTGGTGCGGAGCGTCTGGTCCCCCCCGGCCCGGAAGAGACCCCTCCTGCTGCCGCCCTCGTACCGGACTCGCAGCGGAGGCAGGCGCCTGCTCGGGGCCTCCTGGGCCGTCCTCCGGTCCGGGGGCGCTGCCGCCACTCCGGGGGTGCTCCTTGGTCTCTGCAGAGGACACGCGCCCGTTGGGGGGGGGCAGAAGCAGCCCCAGCACGGCTCCTCCAAACCCCTTCCCACCCCCCCCCCACGGGAGGCAGGGTCTGCTCCGGCCCTGCGGCGCCAGCCCCCCAGCCCCCGTGGCTGAGGCAGCGGGACCCCGACCCCGGAAGACGCGGCCCTGGCCGAGCGGGACGTCAAAGGCCTCACAGTCCCCATTAGATCTGAGGCCTCGAGTCAGGCACTGGAATTCCTTCCTTCCTCTCTCTCTCTTCTTTCCTTTTCTTTTTTTTTTTTTTTTAGAGAGGGGTTGAGGGAGAGGACGAATCCCCAGCAGGCTCCATGCGCAGTGCAGAAGCTGACCAAGGGCTGGATCCCACGACCCTGGGATCACGACCTGAGCTGAAACCCAGAGTTGGACGCTCAACCGACTGAGCCCCCCAGGCGCCCCCAGGTTCACTTTTAGGGGTGAGCCTCCTCTGTCTGTCCCCAGCCCCCCCCCCGGGGTGTCTCCAGGCTGCTGGACTCCCCATCCGCCTCTCGGAGTGGGCGGTGCTACCCAATGCTTGTGGGATTTCTGAACCAAGGAAAGAATCAGGCCCCGTGGTTGCAGCCTCGGGGGCGGGGGGGTGTCCCAGCGAGTCCTCACCGGGCCCTGGCGTCACCCAGCTCACACTCTGGAGTCTGGAAGCTCTCTTCTCCCTAAGCCCCCCTCCCCTGCAAGGCTGCTTCCTGCCCCCTCTCCCCTCCCGGGAGCTTCCTGAGCCGCCCTGCCAGCTGAGCCAGGCTCTCTGTTCTCTACCACACGCGGCTCCAAACAGAGCTGTGACCTTCCGCGACCTGGCCCCCCGCTGTAGCCCTGGGGGAGGGGCCCACCTGAGTGCCCACGACCTCTGACCCACTCCTGGAGAGACTGGGGGGGGCACTCAGAGGCCTGCGCAGGTAACCAGGTGACGGGACAGGGGTCCTCGGGGCTGTGCTGAGCCTGAGCCACAGGACAGGACTCTGCACACTGTCACCACGGAGGCCACAGAACATCAGCCCAGGCCCGCGGCAGAGAAACCAGGAAGGAGCATTCACTTGCCCTTGGTATTCAGGAGCTTCCTCCCACCTCGCCGTGCAGCATCCTGGGCGCCGCTCGGGCCCGACCTCGAGGGAGGAAGCACACGTCCTCCCGGCCACACGCCACGGTGGCCACAGCCACAAGTGCCACCTCCCTGCACACTGTCTGGATCACAGGACTCACAGGAACACAGGACAGTGAGGGACAGGCGTGGAGTCCAGAAGGGCGGGTTGGCCGCATGTCACAAAACACTATCAAGAAAGGGGCCTGAAGGGAGGGGGAGGGGGACCCACCTGCAGCGCGTGAGAGGTGAGGGGCACACGGGGCGGGGGGGAGCACGTTTGCTCCAGATGGGGCTGCAGACCCGCCCTGCAAGGCCGCCTGTGCTTGGCCCTCACCTGGACCTGGGGGCTACCTGTCCGGCGGCTGGGGCTCCAGCTGAAGGACTCTCTGGGGGCCCCTGGGGGTGCCAGTTCCGGTCCCAGTTCCGGCAGGGGGGCTGTCCGGCACCTGTGGCCAATGGCCAGTGTGACCTGCCCTGATGGCCGGGACTCCAGGCATCAGCCCACATCACCGTCGGGACGGCAGCACAGGGTGGGAACCTGGGGTGCCCTCGCCCGTTCTGAGAGCCTGACAGCCCCTCCTTCCACAGAAGGGCCGGGCCCCATCGGCAGGTCCGGTGTTGGGGGGGATGTGGGCGCACCACTGTCTGTCCCGTGAGACCCGAGAGAAACTACACTCACTCGGCGGGGTTTCCGGATGGAGGAGGGTTTACTCACACGGGGAGAGGTAGGCGGCCCCAGGGGCGGAGCAGGAGCCCCGGGGAGGAGCGACGGAGCGGCTGCCAGGACCCGGGCGGCACTCACTTGGGGGGGTCCCGGGGGACGGACCCTGTCCCCCATCTCCTCCTCCTCTCTGGCCTCCTGCGGGGGCCCCCCACTGGCCAAACCCAGGCAGGAGGTGAGGGGCGCTGGGGTTCTGTGGACGCGGTCTGTGCTGGACGGCCTCCCGGGGCCCGGAGCGCGGTGGAGACGGGCGGTCGGCGGAGCTGGAGGGCAGAGGAGCCGGTGAGGACAGGCCCCAGTCGGGCAAGAGTGAGCTGCATCGGCGAGCGCGTGTGTTTTCTATTTTAAGTTTTATTCTTTAGAGAGAGAGCGCGTGCACACGTGTGTGAGTGGGGTAAGGGCAGAGGGGGAGGGGATCCCGAGCAGACTCCAGGCTCAGCGCAGAGCCCAATGGGGGGCTCAATCCCACGACCCTGGATACTGACCTGGGCCGACACCAAGAGTCGACACTCAACGGACTGAGCCCCCCAGGCTCGGGTGAGCAAGTCTTTAGTGCCTTAGAAAAGCCCTGTGAGCCAGGTGACTGGGAGGAGGGGAGGGAGGGGCTAAGAAAGAATAATGAATCCGAGAAAAAGATGAGAAGGCAGGCAGGTTGGGGGGGGGGGGGCGGACACAGAGCAATGACCCCCGAGGCCCGTGCCCACACAGACGCAGGGCACTTGGAGCCTCCAAATGAGCCAAGACCAGAGCCGTCCCCAGGAGAGAGGCAGGCCCAGCCCCAGGCCACTCACCTGCTGCGCTGTCCCGTCGGGGCCGAGGCCCTCTGCTCCGCGGCTCTCCTGGCGGGCAGCCCCGCTCGCGGCACCCGCAGGGCGGGCAGGACGCTGCTGGGGGGGGGCATCTTCCCTCCACTGTCACGGAGCCCACGGCGAACGCTGCCCCGCGGACGGCGCGCACTGGAACAGACACATGCCGTGTGCGAGCAGGGCCGACGGCGAACGCCCACGGACGCCCACGGACGCCCACGGGCGCCTGCCTCCGAGGGCTCCAGGCGGCTGGGAAGCGGAAAGACGGGAGGAGGCGGGAGGACGCTTCCTCCTTGTTCGTGACCAGACGGGGAACCGGGGAGGGCGGCGGGGGGGGGGCGGGCGGGCCTCTGGCCCAGTGCTGAGCTGGCTGCGGCCGGGCCCCCGCTGCGGGCCCCCAGACCCTCGGGGTCCCGGGGTGGACTCGGTCAACCACACTGCAGATTTTTCCCCTCGTTTTCAAACCCGAGAACAGGGGGAGGAACAGCATGGCGGCCCTGAACACCTTCCCCAAGGAAGCTTCCACCCGCTTCCAGCCTTTCGGACGTGCTTTTCCTCACAGACCCCCCACGGAGCTGGGCCACACGCTGCAGACGCACTGGACATGCGTCCCTGCTGTCCGCGGGGCAGCGCCACAGACCACGGTGGCCGCTAGGATTCTGTGCACCCCCGGGGGCCCATCTCTGTGCCCCTGGAATGGCCCCAGCCCCTCGTGTGAGCGTACGATCTATATTCACCAGTAAGAATTCTCTTTGTCTCTCCCTACACACGTGTGCACGCACACGCACACGCACACGCAGGGCCTGTGTGGCTCCTGGGGCCCGCGCTCTAGCAGCCGCGGAACAAACGCCGGCCAGGCACAGACGCTACCGTTAGAAATGGTCTCACAACACTGGGAAGATCGAGAAATCACACCGGGTTTGAAATTTTACCTGAAACCGTGTCTGGGGCTGGAATGTTCTGTGTCCTTTGCGTCCAGAGCCGCCCTGAGGCTCGCAGGCAAGTGCACGGGGAGGAGCTGGCGGGCGAGCGCCCCCGCCCGCTCCTTCTCGACGATCTCCTGCCTCAGCCTCCAGAAGCGCCGGATCTCCTCCTCGCCCGGCCAGTCGTCCGGGGGGGCGGCGCGCTCGCACAGCTCACTCGGGGCCAGCTTTGCAGCAGGAGGCGCACGGTTCGCCTTCTCCGTCAACCTCCCCTTCCGACCCTGAGGGTTACGGGCGTCCTCACGGGGCGCGCGCTCTGCAGAAAAACACAACAGGGGGTGTGGGGGCTGCGCTGGGGGCTCTGCAGCAGCCGGTGGAGTCACCGGGAGGCACAGCGCTGTTGCTGGGCAGGCCCTCAACCCACCCCCACCCCCCAACCCCGGAGCCAAAGGACCCCATGACCCAGCTGCCTCCGCCCCGCGGCCCTTCCTCTCTTATGTCAGTTTATGCAGAGAAAGCACACTTTTCTGTGTCCCCCACCCCAGGCCTTTTAATATCTTTATTTCTAATTAACTGTCGGCCCGTGTGCCCGCTGTTTGTTTGGCAATACTGTCATCGACCCCACACGCTGTCGCCTCCAGGTAAATTACTTCAAAGAAAGTTTGCCGGGAATATTCTTTTTTTTTTTTTAATATTTTTATTTATTTCTAGGAGAGAGAGAGAGAGACAGGGTGAGCAGGGGAGGGTCAGAGAGAGAGGGAGTCACAGACTGAAATAGGCTCCAGGCTCCGAGCTGGCAGTCAGCACAGAGCCCGACGTGGGGCTCGAACCCACGAACCGCGAGATCATGACCCAAGCCAGAGTCGGACGCCCAGCCGACTAAGCCACCCAGGCGCCCCATTGCCGGGAATATTCTTGCCTTCAGGATTAGGCTCCACTGTCCCCTGGTGGACGGATCTGCTCTGGACGAGCAGCCCCCCCCAAGGCAGGGTGGGGTCACAGGTCGTGCTGACAGAGACTACTTTCTGGCTTTAGGTTCTAATGTGAAATACAGGGACTTTGTATCTCGGCATCCTGAGAAACGGCACTGGACTCTGGGGCGTAAGAAAGAGATGAAGCCGGTATAGTTCTGGGGAGATGAGGACCTTCGTGATTCGCAGTCAGGTGGGCAGCAGACAGGCAGACGGCATGGAGCTGGGGGTGCCCACCTCGTGCCCTGGGCCCCCGCCATCCCAGACCCGGTCTCGCCTCCTACCAGCACCTGCACGTCTGCGCCTGGGCGTTTCTTCCGGCCCATGAGCGCCCTCCCGCTGGGCTGGGGACTGGGTGCCCACCCCTGGGAGAAGCCCTCCGTTTACCTGAGCACTGCTGGTGCGGGAGCCCGCGTGCTCTACCCCCACTCTGCTGTGCAGTCACCCCCGGGCCGGGTCCAGCAGGGACCCCACACAAATGTCAACATGCACGCGGAGGCCCTGGTGAGCCGGGTCCTGACCCAGCCAGGGTGCGCGTGGCGCGGGCGGCACCCGACGGGCTGCCTGTGGCCGCTGAGGCCCAGTGAGGGCTCCCCGCCTCTGCTGCCCCCCATTCCGCACCTCCCCGCCTCCGCCTCCACACTGCCACCAGGATCACCTCCCAAATCAACGACTGGCCCTTGAATCCTGACCCAGGAGCTGCTTCTGGGGGAAATAAACTAAGATACTTTGCAAATACAATCAGCGTTTACGGTTACACACTCCGGGCCCTTTGTCTGGATTTGGGATAAAGATGACGGAAGCACATCAGCTGGCCGTTCCGTACGTTTGCCGCTCGCCAAGGTGGACTCAGTAACCCACACACCTGGGTCATGTCACACCTGTAAGTACCACGGCTGCTTCAAGTCTCTGCATCTTCACCTCGGAGCTACGACGTAAGTAGCGAAGGAGCAGACGTTCTGAAGCACATTTTCAGGCGCTCACTTTTCTGGTGAGCATTAGTTACAACTCCACGTTGTCTGAGGGGAGCCCCAGCGCCCCCTCGCGGGTAAGTTATCTCGTGAGCCAGTGCGGACACCCTGCTGGCTGCTCCGCACGTTGAAAACGCGGGGTCAGATGTTTAGCGAGCACACACCAAAAAAGTGGCGAGGCCCCGGCTCCCTGCCTACGAGTGAGGGCCCTTCATTGTTCCCGTCATGAAACAGCTGTCGGACGGGCCGACGTCTCCTGAAGCAGGTGACCACCGGGTTTGCTGGTGAGGGGTTTCACTCCACTTACCCGGCGAGCTCCTTCCGGATCCCACCCTAGACGGGCTCTGCGAGGGGCGCGGAGGGTGCAGACCCGCGAACACAATGCCGAGGAGAGACACGGCTCTGACAGGTCGGCCCGGACCCGACGGCAGCGCGCGTCCAGCGGAGGCCACGTGAGGCTCCGCGTGCTCGCTGGGACACCACTGACGGGGAGACAGGCTCCCCGGGTGCCGGTTTTAACAAGCACTAACTTCGGTTCTAATGCAGTTTGGCGCAGGGATGGTCCCACCAACCTGGAGAAGCCGGCCCTCGGCGGGGGGGCTGCTGCGCGGCGCAGGCCTGCAGGAAGGCCAGGATGGCGCCCAGGCCCTTCTGCACGACGGGGCGCGCGGGGAACTCCAGGGGGCAGTGTCTCAGGTTCAGGGCTCTCAGTGTGGTCACGTGCCCTGCAGGGGAGGAAACCAAACTTTCATTCCACAGAATGAAACGAGGAGGAGAGAATACTGTCTGTGCAATAAAAATCCTACTGAGAATTTGGGGTAAAATGATACAACGGACATCTGAGGTTTGCTGTAATAAAAACCGTAGTGGAGGCAGATTGCACAGATGAAGACCTGGCTCATTACAAAAGGAAATAAATCACATAAAACGAACAGAAGCAACAATAGCGGCCCTCAGGCACAAATCAGAACACAAAGTTGCTGCATCGTCTAAATTGCCTATTTACAACAACAAAACCCGTACGAGGACGACGGGTCCGTCCCCAGGAAACAAGCCGTCACTAGAAATCGTCGCCAAGTAGGCTCGGGTGTTGGATTGGCGGACAAAAACTTCAAAGCAGTCACAGATACGTTCAAAGAAATGAAGGAACCCATGATTAAATAATTACAGAAAAATGTGGTAAAATGACTCACAAGGATGGAATGTCGACAAAACCAGAAATTGTAAGAAAGAACCGCAGAGTAGTTCCGGAGTAGAAATTGCAAACACCGGGTGGAAAGTCCTCCGGGGACCGGGTAGAAGTCGCCTAGAGGACCCAACAGCAAACACGAGATGGCAGAAGACACACTGAGCTTGGCGACTGGAGAGAAACACGAGGAGCCCGGGAGAACTGTGGAGGCACACGGACACCCTCACGGACAGCGGTGTGCATGCGTGGAACGAGAGCCACGGATGACCCGAGTGGGGCGTGGAACGCTCTCTGAGGAAACCAGAGCACACGTGCCTCCAGTTTGCTAACAGACGTCGCTGTGGCATCCGGAAGTTCAACAACCCACATAGGCATCGCTCAACGGCAGTAGTGCCTGGAAACATCAAAACCACCAGAAGACACAGAAAACCGACCTTGGAAAGCACACAAGAGCAACGAGTCATCACACACACGGGCCCGGGAGCAACTTCTGACCACACAGTGGGGGCCAGAGTCCAGTGAGCAGCACGCTCGGGGCAGACGGCAGACACCTGCGGATCCAGTGCCTGCAGCCACGCAGACGGCCCTGCGAGAACAGGAACGAGAGGAAGGTGTCCCCGCAGTGGTCAGTGACTCCACGCCCCTGTCACACGCACAGTCTAAGTCCAGCTGATGCCCCGGATGGAATGAGGGGTGCCACGGCAGAGGACAGAACCTGTGGGCTGCAAGGCAAGTGAACACAGGGTAACAGGGCTTGGACACAAAACAATAGGACGGGGGACCTTCGGGGACAGGAAAAGAAGGGCGTATTCAAGGCCCATGGGACAGAGAGGAAATCCCAACCCCACCCAAGGCTAAGGGCAGGCCCAGGAGCCGAGCAGAAAGAATGAGCAGGAAGCCAGGCTGCAGAAACAATGTCACTAGCCAGGGGTTTTCCAGCTGTGATTACAGACCTCACTAAAGGTTCCAGAAGCTCCGTGAACCCCAAATAAAGTAGAGGCAAAGAGCGCTGCACCCGGGCACACCGCAGGTAAACTGCTGAGAGTTAAACACAAAGAGAGGAGTTTCCGCAGCCAGACAAAAAAAGATCCGTCGGTTTTAAAGGGAAAACAGCAAGACTGATAGCTGGCTTTTCAGCACAAGTTAGAAGCCAGAAGACAATAAAGACATTTTAAAAGTAGCGAACACATCTCTGAAACCTAGGTTCCCTACTCAGCCAATAGCCTCCAAAAATGATGGGAAAAGTAAAGGTGACTTTTTAGGAAACCAAACTTGACGGATTCATTACCAAAAGAGATGATACTACTTAAGGGAGATCTTCGTGCCAAGACAGTCATCCCGGGTGAAAGCAGGAACTTTGAGAAACGAAGTTAAACATGTAAGAAAATACAAGTAAATACTGACAGTTTAAGATGGGCCTGTGGGATGTATAACAAGACGTAAAGGGAAATCTATGAAAACAACACAAAACAGAGGAGGCAGTGGGGCCAAACGTGGTGGAAGTCTGACTTCGGCCGACGGTCGTCGGCCACGGGCGAGCAGCATGGCGTTCGGAGGGCCACTAAATAAGGCCACGTGCAACACAGTGAAAACTGCTTCCCTCATCGGCCGCAGACGAGCAGCATGGCATTCAGAGGGCCACTAAATAAGGCCACATGCAACACAGTGAAAACTGCTTCCCGCACTGTTGGTGCAGCTCCGATCAGATTAACTCCCTGCAGAAAACCAGTGTGCAGAACCCGGGAGACACAAACCGCCCGTAGGCAAGCCAGAAAGGAAAAGCAGGCAGAAGCTAGCGGGGGAATGACAGCTTCCAGAAGAGAAAGACACAACGTGTGTACCGTGTGTATGGCCGTCTGCCTCACGGGAGGCCTGGAGGGCCCCACGCAGGGCGGCTGTACCAGACGGAAACCCGTGTGGCCGTAATGACTCCCAGCGCCAGAGGACAGGCCGTGGAGCCGCCGCAGCAGCCAGAGAGTGAAGTGGTGCATGGCGGACAGATGACCACCGAGGGGCCCGACATTTCTGTGCAGACGCCCCGCGTGCAACCCCCTGGCACGGGCTTCAGCTTCCCGCGCCCGGCATGGCCGCACCTGCTGCCCGACGCCGGAGAGACCGCGTGTGGGGTCTTAGTCCTCCTGACTCAACTACCTATTTCTAAAAAACCACTGCTCTACAGAGGAAGATAACAGAACCCAGAATCTCTACAGTGTCTCTATCACGACGTCCAAGATACAATTCAAAGAATTATTAAAGGAAAACTTTGTTTATACTAAATGAAAAAATAATTCTCAGCAGAAAAATAGAAGCTATTTTTTAAAATATGAAAATCCAAGGACTGAAAATACAGTATCTGAAAAAAATTACTAGACAATTTTCACAGCCAATTGGAGATGACAGAAAAAGATTCATGAACTTGAAGATATTTACCTATCTTCTCTGAAAAGCAGAAAAATGACTTTTTAAAATATACAGAAGGTCAGCAATCTGTAGGACAATAACAAAAGGTCAGAAAAATAAATAAAACCGGAACAGAAAAATATTTGAAGAATTAATGACCAAAATCATTTTCAAATTTGGTAAAAAGATGTCAATTTCAAAACTGAATAAATTCAACAAACTCCAAGTAGGATAAGCATAAAGAAAACCACAGCTAAGGACCCCAGAGTCACAGTGTTGAAAAGCAAAGATACAGAGAAATCTTGAAAGTACCAAAGCCAATCAACACAGTTCATAAAGGAGGACAAAGAATGAGTGACCTCAGAGGCCTGAGGCCAGTGGGACTTCTTTAAAGTCCCAGATGAAACAAATTCAACCCATATTTCTTTTTTTTAAAAAAAATATATATATATATATATATTTTTTTTGAGAGACAGAGAGTAAGCGGGGCAGGGTCAGAGAGAGAGGGAGACACAGGATCTGAAGCAGCTCCAGGCTCCGAGCTGTCAGCACAGAGCCCGACGCGGGGCTCAAACCCATGAACCGTGAGATCATGACCTGAGCCGAAGTCAGATGTTTAACTGACTGAGCCACCCGATACCTCTCAACCCGTATTTCTAATCAACAATATCCTTTAAGAATTAAGACAAGGTATTTCAGAGTCTGTGACTCCCTCTCTCTCTCACCCTCCCCTGCTCACGCTGTCTTTCTCTCTCTCTCCTAGAAATAAAAATATTAAAAAAAAAAAAAAAAAAGAATTAAGGCAAGGGGCACCTGGGTAGCTCAGTCTATTAAGCATCTGACTCTTGATTTTGGCTCAGGTCATGATCTCGCAGTTTGTGGGTTCGAGCCCCGTGTGGCACGGAGCCTGCTTGGGATTCTTTCTCTTTCCCTCTGTGTGCCCCTTCCCCACTCTCCCTCTCAAATTAAATAAATACAATTAAAACATTTTTTATATAAAAAAAGAATTAAGGCAAAATAGAGACATTTCCGGAAACATAACAATTAAAAGTCTGTCAAGGCTGATTTTAAGAAACCTAAAGGCTGAAAAAAAACGATACCACATGGAAAGCTGCATCTTCAGGAAAGAGTGAAGAGACTTTTACCAGGAGTGCTGCGTATTAAGCAAATACAAAATACTTTTTTTCTTACAAAAGGAGGCCCTTGAGACATTGCTTGGGAGCAGCCAGCAGCAGCCATGAACCCTCCAGGAAGCGAGGGGAAGGCGAGGCCAGACCCGCAGAGCCCGGGGAGTGAAGGACAGATGTGGTGGGGACCGCACCCCCAAGCTGCGTGCTGCCTACCAAGCGCGGCAGCTTTCTCCCTCCTTCCCCGTGTTTACGTGGCCTGCTTCCTACGAGAATGCGTGTGACAGCATTAGCGGCCGGCGAGCTGCAGTGTCCGGCCCGGGGGGGTGGGGGGGACAGAAGTAGAAGCGATTGTAAACAGCAGCTGGCTCGCCCCCTGCGACCTGCCTGATGTTTCCATTACAGGTTCCACTAACTTAAAAAGGCAGTATTTTAAAACCAGCTTTTATTGTATTGTTTGAATACTTACCCAGCTCCACAGGTAACGTTTTGATGGGATTTCTTTCTAAAAGCAAAGTTTTCAAATGCCTTTAAAATAAAACAAAAAATGTATCATTTAAAAAGCAGAAAATCAAATGACCGTCCCTAAAATACTGTCAAGTCTTCTCCTCTCCCTTCTCTCCAGAGAGATGGCTTCCGCGTGGGCCCACACACTGACGGCGTGGCCCATGTGCAGACCACGGACGTTGGCTAAGGTGGCCCCCAGTCTCAGCATCTGCCAGGCTCCCACGTCAGTGGACATCTGAGGCCAGGGGACTCTCCGTTGGGGCGCCCGTCCCTCGGGGTGTCCGGCAGCCTCTGGTCTCTACCCACGAGTGTCATCAGAAGTACCCTCCCTGAGCTGTAACAGCCACGGGAGCGACGGGCACTGCGGTCCCCAGGGGGATCGACTCCCCAGTGTCCTGGCCACACCCCCAGGTCCCCTGAGGCAGACTCACACCCTGAGGGGCTCTGCCAGCAAGTTCTCCCCAGTCAAGGCGCCAGGAGCCCGCCACACGGCACCCCGCTCAGCTGGGGTCTCGGACACGGAAACTCGGCGTCAGGGGCGTTTCTCCGTGCGCGGGACCCCGGACCCCTTCCTCCACGCAACACCTGTAACAGCCCCTGCGAAACCTCTCACGAACCGAACCATCAGGAGACATGATACAAGGAGCCCACTAAACAGTTACTAATTTGAATGATATGGAAAAAGAAGTATTTCACATTAAATTCTACCTTTCCCCTTTTATCATACTATGCTTCTTCTGTTTTCCACATGTCATTCTTTTTTTTTTTTTAAGGTTTATTTATTTTGAGAGAGAGAGAGAGAGGGAGGGAGAGGGGGAATTCCAAACAGGCTCCTCGCCATCAGCGCAGAGCCCGATGTAGGGCTTGAACCCACCAACTGTGAGATCATGACCTGAGCTGAAATCATGAGTCGGACGCTCAACTGACTGACTCAGGCGCCCCTCACATGTAATTCTGAAGGCTAATCATACACTGGGGATCCATTTCTTTTCCTCTTTTACTTTGTAGGGACTATGAGCTGAGATCTGGCATAAGAAGACCACAAATGGCCTGGCTCACGGCTCCAGGCTGGGGGCTGGGCGTCCAGGGAGAGGGCAGGGCCGCGCCCCCTGGATCCTGGTCACCAGGGCTTCGCCGAGACATCTGTGGAGAGGGGCCAAATCTGCTGCTCTGCTGAATCTCCACTCCCTCCCTGCTGCACAGGGCCGGCCGGCGTCTTGGGCACGCGGCTGCTGACCCTGTGGGACGGCCGCCTGCCCCGATGGGGATGGCCTCATGAACCCCTGAAGGAAAGCCCCCACCCGCCTTCTCCTCTATCTCGGGCCCCCAGCGACGCAGGAAAGCAGCCAGTGACCGTGGGGCTGGAGGGCAGGCCACCCCATGTCCCACGCCTTTAGCCCCCCACCCAGAGTGGAGGTGAGCGGCCGAGCGCACCCACAAGTCCCATAAGCGAATCCCTGCAGTGGGTGGAGGGAGGCCGTCTCAAGCCCCATCCCCCTTGAAGGGTGAAAACATTAAAATCCAACATGACAACTGCGGCCAGGGTCCCCAGGATTTGAAAGTGGAAAGACAACATCACAGACACACGAGTGGGAGCTCTTCCCTCCAGGTCAACAAAGTGTAAGTTCCCGCCCGGCAACCCCAAGGGAAAATCAGGTCGCTCGAGGGTTACACAATTTGCTTTCCGTGCACTCTCTCGGTTTTCCTTATCACGTGAAGTCTGAAAGGGACTGACTTTATACATTAAATTTTCTCGACGTACACAGAGCGAGTCACGTCAGTGCTATCACTTCAACCACAGGGTTCTGGTTTAGCCCCTTTCAGTCGTGTGGCACAAAAACGGCCCCAGAATGGGGCGGTGCCTTCTCTCCACACAACAGACAGACCCCGCAGGCCAGGCAGCAGGCGGCCAGTGCCCTGGACACCCCCACCGGGCCCGTCCCTGCGTCCCCGCCCCCTGCCTGCTCACAGGGGCGCGGACCGTGGGAACCAACCACTCCCCACGGAAGCGTACGGGGGACGTCCCCACCTCATGCAACGACAGGTTTGAACATTCTCATGTTCACGTTAACTAACAGATTCACAAATGTTGACCCCTGCGATCTGTCAGTCGTCCACGGGCGATTCCTCAGACCTTCCACTGAACGCGCGCATCACAGAGGCTTGCCCGAGGAGGTGTGTACCCTGCTGCACAAATTTCTCTCCCTCTGCTCGCACACTTACACAGCCAAGCCAGTGGGGGAGGGGGGATCATTAATACTGGCATTGCTTTAATTAGGCTTTTTGGAAAGTTTAAGGTTTTTAATAAGCCCATAATTACTTACCATTTCTGATTAGTATGTTACAGCTCTTTGACAAGCTGATCTAATTTTAATGATATAATGGGCTATAAATCACATTCAAAATTATATCTTAAACAATATTAAGCAGCTGGCTTTGACTGGCAAAATCAAAGAACTGTGTGCTTATTTTAGAAGAAAGAGCAGTGCTTTGGGAGGAAGCTTTCATTTGCTTACACTCTCAGGAGCAAACCCTCTCCTCAACTGTGCTAATGCCACAATTTAGGGACAGAAAGCACTAAATTACCCTCTACACAAAAGATGAGTCACCCTGGAAAGAACAAAGTCTTCCTTCCCAACCTGCCCCAAACCACCAGCTCAGAAGACTCACGAGGTCGTGGAGCTGGAAGGGACAGGGCGGGCGCGGCCCTGGCTGCAGCCAGGGCCCCGGTGCGTCCAGCAGCACGACTCCCAGGCCGGACAACCCCAGAACTCCAGGAAGCCGGCTCCCGGCTCTGACGCCCCCGCCTCGTCATCGGAGGTGGGGGGCTTCCTTGCAGAGCCTGAAAAGGCACAGATGATTCACAGAGATGTTCTCGTACTGTTACGTGTGACAAACATTCACTTCTTACCAAATACTTCTGTAGACAGTGAGCCACTCTGGGCGAGTGAAGGGCCTTTACAGCCTCCGCTCTGCTGCCGCGAGGGGCCCCCGCGGCCGTCTGCGCACATGGTCACTCACATCAGAACCGGGGTCGCCCCGGGACACCTCTCTTCCGGCCACACCTCGTACCAACCGGAACCCCGCCTGCCCTCAAGTCCACCCGCCGCTCTACCTTCTCAGCCTGGCCCAGGCCGCCTCCGGTGGGCGGCTGCACGGCCTCCTAACTGGCCTCCCGTGACCACCCTCGCCCCCCTCACCGAGTGACCTCGAGGCCAAGCCACGTCACACCCCCTCCACTCAAAGCCGCTGTGATTCCCAAGCCCCTTCAAAATGGAACCCCGCACGGCAGCCCGGGCCCGTGAGCGGGGCGGCCTCTTTCACACGTCCGCGCCACGCCTGCCCCCTGCGCTCCCCCCGGGCCCGCCGGGCACACGCTCCCAGGGCCCACGCACGTGCTCTCCTCCGCCCAGGAAGCGCTGGCATGAGAGGAGAGCCTATAAGGTTTACCAGAAGGTTTTCAAAAGGATAGGAAACACGGACCTAGAAGATGCGGGAGCCGGAGGCGCCAAGGTCAGGACAGCAGGCTGGGGCCCCTGGCCGTGGGGGAGGCCCGCGTGAGCAGGAGGGAGGGAGGCGAGGCATTTGTTCTAGAAGTGGGAGCGCTAGGAAATCCCCGGAATCAGAGCCACAGGACTGTGGGGGTTCCAACTCTCCAAAATGGAAAGAATTTCTTGTTATTTATCAAAAACTAATAGATACACGGGTGGTAGGGGGCCTCAGGAGCAGACAGGCTGGTTGTCAGAAGGTCAGAGCCATATTTCTGACCTTCCGGCAGCTTCACATGGTGAGAGCCAGAGATGGAAGCAGGTGGTTGCCAGGACCTCATGGGTGCCCAGCAAAGGCACTGTGGCTGCCCGCGTTCTCTGTCGTATTAAATATCCTAAATTACGACTACGGTTACGTGCATTTGGTACCCTCAGCCACCGCGTCTCCTAGCTGGCTTTAAAAATAGCATCGAATGCTTCTGGCTGAAATCAAAACTGAACCAGGAGTAGGAGCTCAGCAGCGAAAGAGCAGGCAGCCAGGCATCTGAAAACCAGGAGGCTCTTCAGAGTCTGGAAGCGCATGACTTACTTGTGAGCGCCAATCCCAGAAGGAAGGGCTCTAATCCTGTTGCAGCGCAAGTCCAGCCAAGTCAGGTTTGGCAGTAACTGAAAGAAGTCTGTGGGGATCTCGCAGAGGGCATTCCTTTGAAGATGCAATTGCTTCCAGGGAAAAGAAAAGACAAGGTTTTGTCAACTAAGCACATTTCGAGACATGACTTATCTACGGCTTTTCCAGAACAGATGCTAGCTTTTGCAATCATACATACCAAATAGAAAGGAAGCTCATACTAACTGATCCTTACACGGTTTAAACACAGACAAGAGTCCGGAAGAAGAGCGCCAGGACCCCTCGCACGCCTCCCGGCTGGAGGGTGACTCCCGGCCCCGCCACACAGTCGCCCGCGGCCGATGCCACCCGCGCCACTGTGCACGCTGGGCTTTTTCTACAAACACCGTCTACGTCAAACCTACTCCCCGAGCTCTGAGCCCCTTTTCCCCTCTGTGGGCCCCACGCTCGGCGCTTCTCAGGCTCCACGGCCACTGCCCCGCGGGTCTCTCTGCCCCATGGACATGTGGCGACAGCTGCGTCTGGTTAGGGACTCGTCCCAAGCAAATAATTAAAAGGGAACACGGCCCTGGGCTGCTCGCTGCGGCCTGGTCTCTGACGCAGCCGCTCAGACACGGCCCCAGGCCCCACCTCGGCAGCAGCAACGAGCGCCAGCCCCGCACAGTCAAGCCGCCAGGAGGCGTCAGAAGGAGCAGGAAGGGAAGGTGGAAGACGGCGTGTGTAACGTGCACGTACACTTCTAGTCACGGCGCAGCACGACTGGGTGGGTGAAGAGCCCCCTTGACGGTGCTGTTACGCATCGTGCTTACCCGACTTCACCCGTCACAGCTCCCTGCCCAGGCAGTGGAGCACGAAGCTAAGAGCGCTGGCCTGGAAGCCACACTTCCTGAGTTCAAATCTAGAATTTGAATCCTTATTAAGCTGTGTGACTTTGAGCAAGTTCCCACACCTCTCTGGGCTCCAGCGTCCTCCCCCACAAAATGGCTCAGGGCACCCACCTGCCAGCGTGTGCTAAGTGAGCCGCGCTGGGCACCTGGGAGTGTTGGGGAGCACCCGCCACCCCCTCTGGCCACACTGGCCGCACTCCCAAACCTGTCTCCACGGCCCTCCACGGGTCACGGAGGAGCTTTACAGGCACAAGGAAAGCGCCTGCCTGCTGCCAGGCAAGGCGTGGGCAGCCACCCTTTTGGCCACAGGCGGCCACGGGGACACAGGCTGGTGGTCCCCGTGTCCAGGGTGGCATGGACTCGCACAAGTGTGTGCACCTCGATGCGAGGCTGAACGTGGGCTCCAAGCCCCCCGGCCGGCTCTCTCATGGAGAGCTGCTTCCAGCGCTCAGTCCCGAAACCACACACCCTCCCCAGAAAGGCAGGGCGAGGGGGGCTGGCTCGAGTGACAGCCAGGTGACCGCACCTTGAAGCCCGCCCTCCCTCCTGGGCCGCTGAGACCCTGTGAACACAGGCCCTCCCGCTCTGGGACCGCACATGTCTGTGGAAGCAGCGGATGTGCTCCCGGTGACCCCGGCGATCGCCACTTCGCCGGCACGTGTGCCCATAACCCCTCGAAGGCCACGGCGCCAAGCGGCCACCTCCTTCAGTGATTGGTTGCCATGGCAATAACATTTATATTCACATCCCTGTTTTCCAAAGGGCTTAAGCAGTTATGATGTTTCTTTATTAAGCCTGAAGAGCAGTTTGGAACCTCCTCCTTCTTCCTTTATGCACAGAGGTAACGTCCGTCTCAGGGCAGGGCCGGGGTTCTGACGCCCGCTGGGAGCGGCAGACGGCAGCCCTGACGACCGAGGGATTCACTCCAAGGGACAGGTGCTCAGGTATGCAAGACCAGGGCCGGCCTTGGCAGCAAAACAGGGCGTGTCACATGCAACAGAGGGGTTTAGTCAGTCGAGCAGCCACCTAAAAGCAATGCACGCAGCTTTGTAAAAGCACTCAAAAGTGTCAGTCTACACCGCACCAGTGCAGGGTGTCCAGCGGGTGCGGTGCTGGGGACACTGCGGTTTAGTTCTTGTAATAACCCACAAAACATGCTCATTCTCATGTTCCAGATGAAGACGAGTGAGATTTAAGGAATTTACATGAGTGCCAGGCAGCAGGAACCCCGCTCACGTCAAAACTGTGCCCTGACAGCAGCTTACTCTAGAAATCACGGGGCAGGAGGCAGTACTCCCTGGATCGCCAGCTGGCAAGGGCCTGGAGAAGACACTGGGCACAGGGCAAAGTCCGCGGGTAACGTCAGCAAATCACGCGCAAGAACCGTTGTTAACTGATTTAATACCACGTGGGCTTGTGGGCAGGGCGTTTCACGTAAGAGGTCACGGGTGTTATGGGCCGTGGAATCTACCATCGGCTTGTTGGTGCTTAAGAGCCCGCAGGGAGGGAGGATGGCTCCTGTAGCCCAACTCCACGAGGTATTTGCATTTGCTCGTTCCCGTACCTCAGTTTCTCATTTTGTGCTGAGCAGCACGTGAGACCCCGAGTCAACCTTCCTCTGTCTCATTCTGGACTCTCTCTCCTAAAGTGAGGCTCCAAGTAAAAGCCATTCGTGTCTACTGGGCAGACGCACTAATGAGAAATGTCCCACTTACTTTAAGGTTGGGGATCCGAAAGATCTCTCCTAACTGGTGAAGACCACTTTGACTCAAGTCTAAGATCGATGAGGAGGAAAGGATGAGCCCCTGGGCGCCCTGGGGAGCCTCTCCGGAGGGGGCGGCAGGCATGCTGCTAACGGGGCTGGAGCCGCGCTCTGGATCAGCCGCCGCAGGGCGCAGCTTGTGGGAGCCGCTTCCGTCCATCTGCCAGCCAGGAGGAGACTCCCGTCCGGGGACCACCGCTCATCCTGCGTGCTCTGTGGTCACCTGGAGACAGGGAGACATGGCCACAGCTGGGTGCCCTGACACACTCGCCCAGGTGCCACGGGGCGGCTATGTGGGGGGCCGGCAACAGTTTCACTTGCTTACAAAACCACCATTTTTAATAAACGGTATCATAAACCTGACGCTCAAGTTTGAAAGAAGGAAGAAAGCTAGAAGTCAAGCCTCACTTCGCACCACGGAGTTCCAAGATTCAACTTTTAACTCCTGGAAAACGCAATGATGCAAAGTAAGAATGGCTATTTTAGAGATGAAAACATCAGGTTTCAGTCTGTAAACCAGTAACATTCCTTCCGTAAGACGTGAGTGCAGAGCGCTCCTCAGTCTGCGCTGATTGCTCCTGCTGAGGTTCTGAGCTCTCTCCCCCCACCGGGGACGAGCTCCCCGTGCCCAGGGATGCGCCCCCCGGGCTCAGGGAGCAGCGCTGGGTCTGGGGAGCACACAGTTAGGTGCTGGGGGAAATCTGTCAAAAAAGAATCTTCAATTTTAGTTGTTCAACAATATTTCCAAAGTAGTTCAAGAACTGCTGCTCACCAGAAGCTCTTTTGGGGAAACACACTTCCACGTGTAATTTCTAACAATTGATCCGGCAGGAATAACCCACATCGGAATGCTCATGAGTTCATATGTGATCACTCCTTAACACTCCACTGGGCTGGCATACCCTGCGCACACGCTTCCTTCCTGGGTTCGGGATGAGGAATACGAGGCTTGGGTTGGTTACCGAGCTGCCCAAAGGCTGAGCAACGAATGAGTGAGGGCAACGCACAGGTGTGACCCAAGGACACCCTGGGGCTTCCCTGGTGCACCCTTTCCGGTGAATCACCCACCTGAAGGCTGCTTCCACCTCCTACAATCCTCCAGAGAGGGGAAAAGTCTCAAAACCAGTGAAACAACAGGACCTAAAAATGGGCAGAGCCAACTCCTGGAGGGGCGGAGGCCGCCCCTCATCCCCACTGTGACTGCCTCAGTTTCCCCATCTGTACCAGGCCTGGTTGCGCCGACCCATTAGTCCTCAAGTTCCAGGCCTGGGGTGCACAGCCTTTCCCAGAGCAGCCAGACATGGCAGAGCAGGCCAGAAGGGGCACCGCCTTCCGTCTGCCTTTCCTCTGCCGCCTGCCCACACTGGGGGGGGGGGGGGTGCTTGCCCAGCGCCCCGGCCCCCCAGCGCCCCCGGCCCCCCCAACTCACCTGCAGCACCCTTCCATCCCGGCTTCACCTGCGGCCCCTCCCCTATACCCCCATCTCCCCTGCGATACCCTCCCACCCCTGCCTCACTAGCGACACCTCCCCTGTCCCCCCACCTGCAGCGCCCTCCCCCCCTCACCTGCGGTGCCCCCCCCACCCCGGCACCCCCAATAATCACCTGCAGCGCCCTCCCACCCCCTCCTCACCTGCGGCGCCCCCACCCCCGCACCCCCGCCTCACCTGCGGCGCCCCGCTCCTCCAGCACGCTGACAAGCAGAGAACCGGGAGGTGCAGCCCAACAATGGAGGCTGCTAGGCCCACGCGGTCGCCATGGAGACGCCCTTACGGGGTCCCGGAGGGGCCAAGCCGCGCGAAGCGCGCGCCGCCGCGGGGAGGGTGCTGCGCCTGCGCCAGCCGCGGGGTCCGGCGCGTGCGGCCTGCGGCCTGCGGCCCCCTCCGCGCGGCGGGCGGGGACGCACACGGGCTCACGTTGCGTCGGTCCGCGGAGAGCATGCGCGGAGGGACCCTTGCGGCCGCGCGAGCGAGCCGAGCCCGGGCAGGGCGCCTCCGCGCTGACCACCCGCCTTGAGGGCCCGCGAGCCCTCCCCGCGTCCTGACTGCACCTCTGCCCAGCGCTCGCCCGGCTCCTCCGAGCGTCCCGGGGTCGCTGCCGTCACGCGGACGCGGCCACCCCGAGGGCAAGGGGCCGCCCCTCTGTCCCAAGCCTGCGCCCCCTGCCCCGCCCCCACCAGGTAGCCTCTGGGCCGGCGCTGCGTCCGTCACTAGGGCGGAAACGCGAGCCCCGCGGGGCCAGGGCCCAGCCGGACTCCCCCTGCGGCCCAGCGCTCGGGCGGCAGGCGGACGCCGGGCAGACGCAGGACCCCAGCGGACGAGGTCTTCGGGCGCCGATCGGGGACCGAGGGCCCGGCGTCCGCACCGTGGAGCCGGCTGCGCGGAGGGAGGGAAGCCCCGGGGCGGCCCCGTCCTGTGGGCGGCGTCCTGAGGGGGAGGCGGGGGTCCCGCGGGGGAAGAGCCCGTCGCAGGACCGACAGCACAAGCCCCCCGGGGCTGGGGGAGCCGCACGCCTGCCTCCCGCCGCCAGGTGAGCTGGCGGATGTGCAGCAGCGAGGGGCGCAGCCACGCCCGGGCGCTGCCCGGACCTTCCACGTGAGACCGCTGCAGCCTCACCCTCCGCGCCAAACCTCAGCGAGATGCCCCTTGTGACCCAGTTAGGAAACCCCCTGGGGCAGGAAGGGCCCCGGGGGGTGGGGGGAGCCCAGCTGACACATCAGAAAGCCACCACAGTCCCTGAAATTAAATTGGGGCCTGTTAGGAGTACTGGTCACTGGGCAGGCTGCCAAAGGTATCAACTACAGAGGCGCCTGGAGAACTTTCCACGGATGCTAAGATAAGATCCCCCTTGCTGTGAAAGGTCACCCTCGGTTTCTGATATGGAAATGGCAGGCTAGGTCATTAGGACCAATCCTTCTGGATTGTAATCCTTCTGCAACAAGGGAGTGAAGAATTCCAGAAAGGTGAGCCTTGCCCCCAGTGAGCATGTTTGTTTGGAAGAGGTATTGGGTTTTTGAGCGCTCAGCTACTGGGGCGTCTGGGTGGTTCAGTCTAGCGTCCAACTTCGGCTCAGGTCATGATCATGAGTTCCAGACCCACATCAGCTCACTTCTACCTGCACAGAGCTTGCTTCAGATTCTCTGTCCCTGCCCCCTCTGTCTGCCCCTCCCCCACTCGCACTCTCTCAAAAATACATAAAACATTTTAAAAATTGTTTTTAAAACAAAAACCGGGGCGCCTGGGTGGCTCAGTCGGTTAAGCATCCAACTTTGGCTCAGGTCATGATCTCATGGTTCATGAGTTTGAGCCCCACATTGGGCTGTGTACTGACAGCTCAGAGCCTGAACCTGCTTCAGATTCTGTGTCTCCCTCTCTCTCTGACCCTCCCCTGCTCACGCTGTCTCTCTCTCTCTCTCAGAAATAAGTAAAAAACATTAAAAAAAAAAAAAAAAAGCAAAACCTTCAGCTTTTGAGCAAATCTCCCAACAGAACAAAGACCAAGGGGATTAAGTTGTTATTCTGACACCACTGCAGAGACCGAGAGTTGAGTAAAGCCCCAGGTTTCAGGTTGGGGACCCATAATACCAGACTCCAGGAGAAGAGTGACCTGGGAACACCCCAACCTTGCGGGGCCTGAGGCTCAGCTTCAGACCGAGACAGACCCTGATCGCATCAGGTGCCGGGCTGTTTTCGGCTCCTGGCCAGAAGTGGAAGTCAGTCCTTCCACTGTAGAAGAAAGAAGAAAATACCACTGTAGGTCGCAGGTTATCCTCATGGTTTTAAAATGTGTAACATACGGGGCTCCTGAGTGGCTCAGTCGGTTAAGCGTCTGACTTTGGCTCAGGTCACGATCTCATGGTTTATGGGTTTGGGCCCTGCATTGGGCTTTGGACTGACAGTTAGGAGCCTCCTTGAGATTCTCTCTCTCCCTCTCTCTCTGTCCCTGTACCCCAAGTGAATAAATTAACATTAAAAAAATAAAAACAAAATGTGTAATGTATGTCACACCAGGCAACATGAACACATGATCAAATTTAAAAAAAAAAAAACTGATCTGTGGGTGATCCAGATAATGAAGTTTGCAAGCACACAGTTTTAATTAGGCTGAATATGTTCAAAGAAGTGATACTGGAAATTATAGCAAGGAGTCAACTCAGAGTTCTGGATCTGGAAAATACGATAATAGCTTAGAGCAGAAGAGGGTGTTGGTGAAGCAGAAAGTAGTTAGAAGACCACCCCATCAACAAGCAGGGAGGGTGAAGTCGGCACAGGGGAGCCGGGGAACCAGGCTAACTCCCGGGAGTGGGTGGTCTCTGGCCAACTCGGCACCTTCGTCCTGCCCGCGGAGGGTCTCCTCTCCCGCCCTGGACGCTTCTCTGTGGGTTCCAAGGGCTCTTGCCGGGAGGCTTGGAAGCGGAGGAGGGTGGGCTCTTCATTTCCGGAGGCGCGCGCAGTGCTAAGGGCGGGTGAGAGGCTCCGAGCAGATTCCCCGGTGACCCGCGGTGGCAGGACAGGCATAGTGTGGCGGCTACAGCCGTGCCTGTCAGAAAGGGGAGAAACGAGGCACAAGGGGTGATTCTTTTTGCCTGTGAGTGTATGAAAAGGCTTTATTTTGATCTCACTCCTGAACAAGAATTAACTGGTATAGAACTCCTCGCTGGCAGTTATCTCCTATCAGAATTTTAACGACACCACTCTGGAAGCTCTTGCTGCTAAGGAGCTTGCCGTCCATTGAATTGCCATTTCTGGGAAGGAAATCTGCCTTTTCTTGATGTGTTCTTGATGTCCTGACATTTCGCTACAGTAACTGTTAAGTGTGGATTGATTTTCGGTGACCCTGCTTGGCTCTCGGTGTGTTCTTTCTGTCTTCAATCCTGGACATTCCGGTCGCTTGTCTGCACATAAATGTGGTCTGTGGTCTGCACCCTGACCTCGGCTCTCTTATTCTGGGTCTCCTGTGAGGGGATAGATTGAAACTACTCCGTCTGCTCTCTGCGTCTCAAAACTGCTCTTCCTAATTTTTACCTGTGCTCTCTTCAGGAAATCTGTCTCCACTGGTGCTCACTTAGGGTTTGTATCATGTACTGAGATGGGGTTGCTTTGGGGTAGTTTTGGGGGATGACTTCATGTCTCATTTCCAATTTTCTTTGTTATACTTGTTCTCATTTCATTTTGTCCAGTTCTTGTTTTATAATCTCTTCTAATTTTTCTGGACATTTTCTCTTTATCCAACGTGTGAATCCTAAACATGGTTATGTTAACATCTGCTCTATTGTTTTAATTTTTAGTTGTTGTATTGTTTTCATTTCATCTGGGATGAATTCATCTGCTGATTGCAGATCTTGTTATCTTTTTCTTAGAGTCATGTGCTTTGGAATTGAGGCTTGCAGGCTCAGCGTAAACAAGGGGCTTGTGTGCCGTGCTCTCTCTCTGCTCACCCGTCTGTGCTTCTCAGTCCCGCGGGTGCCTCCACACAGCCTTTTGGGGCTCTGTGGCGCTGATGTGTGTTCCGTGGGGTGCTCAGGGCCCTCGCACAGCCACCCCCCCCCAGAAGTGCAGAAGTGTGCAGGCCCATCCTCTGGGGGATCCTCAAGTAATTGCTGCAGGTGATTTTCTTTCACAACTTCCTGTCACAGAGGTGGGAGACGTGCCCCAGCTCTGATTTTATGTGATGCTCTTGGCTGTTGCTCCCCATTCTCTTTGGGTGGTTTTAGACCCTTTGTCCCTCAGGGACAGCATCCCAGCCACGTGCCTGTTTCTGGATCCAGAGCCGTGCAGGTCCAAGGTCCCAATCTTGCACACTGTTTTGTGTCTTCTTTCACTTTTGGCCTGCAGAAGGGTTATGGTTTTTAATGCTTTCTTTTTAAAATTCTGTGTCGTGGCTGTGGGTGGAGGGATTGCTGGAAGGGTCTCTGAGCACGAACCAAGGGTCCCTGCTTGCCCAGAGGAAGTAAATGTTTGACGCACAAGTGACAATAGAGGGTTTTGTTCTGTTTTAGTTTTTCCTGTTTAATTCCTGGGGCTGAAGAGACTGTAAGTTATGTTTGGTAGATTCCCAATAACTTGCTTCTGTATCAAAAGAAAAGCCAAAGAAAATATTTTAAAAACTTGAAATCTACCTTCTAGAAAGTTTAAAAAAAGGGAATAAGCATTTCCAGATTTCAGAGCGGCTGGAAGTTATTTTTTGGAAGACGGTCAAGATGCTTCTAGGCAGCTGGCGCCGTCTCGCCCTGCGGGCCGTGCTGCGTCCTGATGTGCGGCGGTTGAGACCCAGCCTTCCTCAGAAGGAAGTGAGGCCGCCAGGGGAAGAGGACCTTGGTTTCCCCGTGGGCGCCCCCCCTGGGAGCGCGGGGCGTGGGCAGCGAGACTGCCCAGGAAGGCAGGAGACGGCGCGGGAACGCTGGCTCTCTGGCAACTCGGAGGAGCGTGGGATGACTCCTCAGTGAATGTTCCAGGTGAGCCTGGGGGGTGAGCTCACCCTTGAGGTTTGGGGACAAACAGTTGAGCCCCACAGACCGCCCGTGCCAGCTCCATGGCCCGTGGGCACCAGTGAGCTCCCCCAGGCTCCTGTGAGCTCAGGCTCTGGGGCGGGGGGCCCGCAGGGCACAGCAGGGAGGGGCTGCCTCTGCCCTCCCCCTTGTACCTTGCATCCACCCACTCTTAAAACCCAGGCGTCTGCAAGGTTCTCACCAAAGTCCTCACAAGAACGGCAGGACTCGTCCTTCACTTCCTGCGAGCCCGTCAGTGGAATGGAAACATGATTACGTGGGACCTTGCCATTGTATGGCCTGGGGCCCCCTCGGGGTATCAGCACGGAGGCCGTGCGCAGGAGTGGCACACAG